CAGAAGTTGGAGGTCCCTCTAGAGGCGTCCCAGGGTTTAGGGTTTTAGGGGTTTTTGGGTTTAGGGGTTTAGGGTTTAGGGGTTTAGGGTTCAGGGGTTTAGGGGCTTAGGGGCTTAGGGTTTAGGGGTTTAGGGTTTAGGGTTCAGGGGGGTACCATTTTGGGGGTCCAGTACTAAGGATTATAGTACTCTGGGGTCTATATTGGGGTCCCTCTCTTTTGGGAAACTACCATATAGGGGGTTACATAGAGGACTATAACCGGGTTTCAGACTATAGCTCAGATACCCTTCATTCCGGCTATCAGGGGCCATATGCCTTTATTGAAGGGAACAAGGAGGGTCCGGGAAAGGATGAATTTCTTTCCGCGGATGTACAAAGGGAAGCCTCATTCGCAGAGATGGCGCCACGTAAGATTAGGCATCACCTGTCATTAGGGTTTAGGGCTCAGGGATTCGGGCTTAAACCCAAAACCCCTAAGCCCTAAACCCACGTTTAGGGTTTAGGATTGCGGCTTACGCATGGTGAGTGGGGGTACGGAGTAGTAGTCCCTACGGTGGATACGGAAAATCCTGCATGACCATTTAGGGTTTAGAGGAAAAGGTAAGTAATTACCTCATACCTTGAGCACTATGGTATTATAGAAGATTCTCAAGGGTCTTGGACTTGGAAGCAGTCTGCAGCGGTCAGACAGAATTTGGCCGTGAAGGGCGAGCTCGACAGGATTCTTGTGCCCAGGTTCGTGCTCATGGAGCCTGGTCCATGCTCAGTGCTGACGTGAATGAAGTCAGCCTTCTTGAAAGGCGACCCTTTCGTGCCCTGCGAGCTCTACATCACGAGGACGAAGTGCAAGGTCGAGCCATCCATTCCAATACCTGAAGGTTGCCTGCCACGAGCCCAAAAAGGAATTTTCGGGCTAGCGCACGCTCCCAGGGAATGGTGGCTTGCCTTGGCGCGCTCCTTGGAAAGTCGTGGTTGGCTCATTGCAAAGGGCGAAAGAGGAGCCTACCCTAGTGAAGATACTTACAGAAGGTAACAAAGATTATTCCTTACGATGGCTCCCTAATGACCTCAGAACCTCCAAATTCAGTACTAGGAGGGTCCTCACTGGCCTCTTTTGGGAGTTGTCTTGGCCCTGTTTCAGGATTTTGGGCTTTTCCGGCCAAAGCATTTGCTATACAAGTGGTTGAAATGATTGACCACAAGTAAGTCATTCGAAATTTTTTGGCCACGATTTGTAACCCTTTTCCTTCTACGGAACGCAAAGGTAGGTAGTTTCGAGGCTCAAAACCAAAACAAAAACATCCAAAAACAGAATAGACGGTTATTCCACATACTTTCGCGGTCCGGGTATACTTGCCACCCTAAACCCTCAATTCTAAACCCATTCCGATCACCTTTCCGTGACTCAGACCCTAAAATCCTGGTCCCAGACCCTAGAACCCTAAAACCCTAGAATCCAATATGAACCCCAAACTCAAAACAAACAAAACCCTTTGATGGACATCTTCGGGAGTCGTCCGCAGGCCCTGGAGAAAAGGTGTGACAAATAAATCCCAAAGCAGGTCTCTCTCTCTCTCTCTCTCTCTTTCGATACATAAAGACTTATGTCCTTTTTTTGACTGCTTAGACTTAATTTTTTGGGGTGGATGGATGAGGTTCACAAGTTCACAAGACCCCCCAAAGTAAATGTTTATTGGGATCACATAGGAAACCCTGTAACACCCTAAGCCCTGAACAACCCTAAGCCCTAAACCCTGAGCCTTTCAGGCATCGAGCTCAGCGCGAACTAGAAGCAGAGTTTGCAGCCCGCGACCGCCCTTCTGCGGCCTTTCAGTGGGTGTTTAAGGTTTAGCCCGAAACCCCTAAACCCCTAAACTCCTAAACCCTACACCCCTAAACTCCTAAGCCGGGAAACCCCTAAACCCTTAGGAGTCAGAGCCTTAGGTTGGAATTCAATGAGGTTTGAAGTGTGGGCCTCTAGTATGGCTTTGGTGTAAGATGGTGTAAGGTTTATGGCTTAGGATTTAGATTGTTTTTTGAGGTAAGTCTGGGGCCTTAATCTTGGGGTCCTGATATCCCGAGTATATACCTTAGAAAACCTTAGAAACCAAAAAGGGACCCATACTTAGGATCCAGGAACCAGGCAGGGGCCCGCGGTTAAGGGGTCCGTGTGGGCGTTTCCCAAAATTAGGGCCTTCCTGGGGGTCCCCATACCCTTGGGATCCAAACAGCCCAATGTAGGTAATATTTACACACTTTGGGGCTCAATGTAGGTATTATTCGTATACTTGGATCCCGAGGGATAATAAGAACATAGCCTAGATTGGGCTCCCTATATTTTGGGTAACTGCCACATTTAGGGCCTTAGAGAAGCTGCGCATTTCCCTTGGCCACCGATGCCGGGGCCCGGAGGGTCCTGGATCATGGGTTTGGATTCAGGGCCTGGGCTGGGGATGTAGTGTTTAGGGTTTAGGGTTTAGGATGTAGGGTTTAGGGTGTAGGGTTTAGGGTTTAGGATTTCGGGTTTAGGGTTTAGGGTTTGGGCATTGGGTTCATAATAGTAAGCATAGAACTAGTAGCATAGAACCAGTAACAATCATACCAGTAATAGTAGTATTAATAGTAGTACGAATTACCATAGTACTAGTAACAAGGGGTTGAGGCTTGCTTCTCTCAGCTGAGGCACGGCGAACTGCAGGGAGAGTTAGGGTTTGGGGGGGTTGAGAACTTAGGCTGCTATATATCTATCTATCTATCTATCTATCTATCTATCACTACCGCCCATTACTTATACTGCAACTGCGGTTTCCGTTACTGGTTTTATTAACGTTGCTAGTCCTATTCCTATTGCTTTACCATCATGTGCCCACACTCTCCTCAGCCCTCCTGGTGGGGATCTCATGTCTTTCGTGGAACATGATGGACGCTAGTTTGTCAGCTGTCGACTGAAGCCGTGGGGATTTCCGAAAATGAGGGGGTCTCTTTTGAGGGTTCATAGAGCAAGGATTACAATGTATGCGGCGTATTGGGGCCCCAGACGTGCCGAAAGAGTCAAGCTGTTTTGTCAACTGATTTGTTGCCGGGCTTGGACACTCGTTTAGGGTTTACGTAGGAACTGGTATCCACTTACCACTGACTGGACTTATCCCAATCATATTCAGGGTCATGTGCGTCATGTGCTCAGCTGTAAGGCCTTGAAGCCGTAGGTTCATGGGTTGCATCGCCAGAAACAGTCCACAATTCATGTTATCACCGTCACCTAATCTGCATCTGTGCTATTAATTCCAGCAACCCCCCTAACCCTAAATCCGAAGCCCTACATCAGAAATCCTAAGCCCTAAACCTGAAACACTAAGCCTTAAGCTCTCCCCTAAACCCTGAACCTTAACCATGGACGGAAACATGGACACTTCAGGCAGCTTCATCTTCAATGCCTGGTTCGAGAGTGTAAAAGCTGCAGCTTGGGCCAACTTCGTTGTTCGGGTTTTTGGGTTAGGTAGGGTTTAGTGTAGGGATTTAGGGTTTAGGGATTAGGGTCTAAGGTTCAGGGTTTAGGGACTAGGGTTAAGGGTTTAGTTTAGGGATTTAGGGTTTAGGGGTGTAAGGTCTTGGGATTAGGGTTTAGGGTTTGGTAAGCCTGGGGCCTAGTTTAGAGGACCCTGGAGATAGCTAACAGATTGCATCCCCTTAGGTGCCCAGAATTGTTTTTTTCCATGAAGGGGGGCCCCAAAATAGACCACCATTATGATACTCCCAAACAAGGACCCTTGAATTCCGGAAATCCTAAACCCTCAATCACCCTCCTCCTGGCCAAGGATGTTGAGTTGAGCTAGCAGGGGATGAAAAGTATGGACAATAAAATCAGAATTGCAGTATTAGTCGGGTGACTCCCATTGTTGATGCTATCCCTAAACCCTAAGCCCTAAACCCTAAACCCTGTAAGCCTAAATAGTCCCTTAGCGTCAAAGCCGTTGGCAGACTCGAAGGTAACTTTCCCCTCCGCGGCGGTTCCTCTAACCAAGGAGGACATCGAGGCGGGAGGCGTTGTTTTTTTTGCCTTATTAAGGTTATATTAGGGTTTAGGGTTTAGCGTTTAGAAGGCTATATTGGGGGTTTATAGGGATGCTTCCTAATCGATTATACTATTGGGGTTCTATAGGGATAATGGAAAAGAAAATGGAAACTACTATTACTATTTAGGGTTTAGGGTTTATAGTCCACCTTAAGTAGATGGAATATGGCTTTGGGTATATTATATGTAATAAGTAATAAGATCCCCATATACCCCATAGTTTATCTACTTTTATCTATTTAAGGGGGACTATGGGGCATTTTTCGACTTCCATTCTTGACGTCAGTCAAGAAGAAGATAGGGGGCTCAAAAACAAATAAAGGGTTGTTGCCATGGAGTGGGACCACTTTCAACCAAGAGGTTAGTGTAATGGTACATGATCTTTACCATGCGGATCCATTTTGAGGAAATGCCCTATAGACTCTAAACCTTAAATCCCGTGTTGTGCTGTCGGGATTTTTGAGATTGTAGGGACGCCGTTGTTTAACAAGCCAGAGATTGGGACCGTAGGTTTGGCAGACGGACCCGCAAACTGGCAACTAAATCCTACTTTGAGCTACTCGGGAGTTACTACTGCGCTAGGGAACATGCTTAGAAGGGGGGATGAGATGTCTACCTAACTGCAGGCAGGGTCCCTCAAAGTAAGCCCCTAAACCCTACACCGATAAACCCTAAACCCTTGAGCCCTAAGACGTAAAGATAAGGCTTGAGTTCGAATGTACACTGCCGTGTGCCAAGCCCTGGTCTCCTTTGAGTACGAAAAAATTCTGGTAGTACATTGATAATCTCAAAGCATGACCCCTCAGTTGTGGAACCCCCCGCCCATAAAACCACGTGCCTCACTCGATTCAGTCCCTACACTCCCAAAGCCGAGTCCCTAAGGCCTTTATCCTAAACCCTAAGCCCTCCATCCTAAATCCTAAGACCTAAACCTTCAACACTGGATTAGGGTTTAGGGCTTAGGATCTTGGAGCCCAGATGCTCGATTTTGAAGCCCCCGCATGGTCCCAGGTGCCTCTTTTGTTGAAAGAAATTTTGGCACTATGGTACCCTTAGGCTCTAAGGACTCATAATAGAAGGCTTTTGGGCCCAAAGACCATACTATACAAGGCTTTTGGGCTATTTTTAGCCTTAGGGGTATAATTTCATGCAGTATTCTTCAGTATCAACCGTACGAGGTCAGACTTATCATTACGGCTCCCTATATGGCTGCAATAACTTAGACATGCCCATCCTAAATCCTTGACTCTGGACCCTAAACCCTGAAACATCCCAAACCCTAAACTCTAGAACCCGAGGTCATCTTATTGTCCTCTGCACCCTAAAGCTTGCAACGACCAGAACTAAAAACCCCGAAGCCGTCAAACCCCTGAAGCCCTAAAGCCCCCAACCCCAAGCCCCGAAACCTAAGCCCCTAAACGCTCCATCCGTAGAACCCCTAGACCCTACATAACCGCCATATAGGTTTGGCAGAACCCCAACCCTAAACCCTAAACCCCAAAACCCCACAACCCAATCTGCTCATGAGCGCCCAAGGCGCTTGCGCGTGCAGCAGATGATGCCCTGGCACTCATCCCCTCCACAAAGACAAGGCCTTAGGGTTGAGGGTTTAGGCTTTATAGGTTTTAGAGTTTAGGGTTTGGGCTTTATAGGGTTTAGGGTCTAGGTGGGCATGAAGGAACGGAAAAGCTACTATTATAATGGTTTATGTAGGGACTACTACACGGATCCATTCCATCACTCTTATTTAACCCATGGTAATTAGCGCGGTTTAGGATTTCGGGTTGAGGATGTTCAATCTGGGGTTTTGGGCTTAGGGTTTAGGATTTGGGGTTTAGGCCGTCTGCCTGCGCCACACTGAGTATCTATGCGTCGGTGGCGCCCACTTCCAGGCACGCCCTCAATTCCCGCCTCAAGATCGTCTTCTCGTTTTCGATTTCCAAACGAACATGATCATTACAGGCCCGCCGCAGGCGGGGCTTCCACCCCTGAAGGGGCCTCGCTAGGCGCCTTAGCCAAAGACCCCCCAAACGCCCCCCTGTTCTGAGGCTGAAGCTGTGGGGGCAATCAGTGTACATTGTGAAGATTTGCCCCACCTGAATCGCTAGAGGTAGATGTGCGGCTCAGACTCCATAGGCTCCTCCCATTGTCCTACCTAGTACGGGTGTAAAGGCTGACGTGTTTCTTCAGTGTCTGGCCACTCTAGTAATGGGTGAGAACGGCCCCATGGAGAAGAAAACGGAAAATGAAATGGAAGCTGGGGTCATGTAATGTAAGCCCGTGATTAATAAACACCCTCCCCTTAATAGGGATTATAATGGGGATCCCAATATTCAGGCCCTTAAAAGGAGGGGGTTTATCAATCATGGGTCTACATCATGAAATTGGGTGCCGGGAGCTTACTTTGAGGGACCCCTGAGGCATTAATGGGGGTGGGAACCTAGTTATAACTGGCTACAGGAGAGTTATCCGGCGCTTACTGGCGGGATAGAATACATGCCTTCCTTTAACTGTAGGGGTCCTTAAAGTAATGCAGGAGCCGCAGTGACTTTCAACATCATGGTCCTAGGTCCCTTGTAGAATGATGGTATAGGATAGGTGGCATAGATCTCAAAATGATATCGGTAATTCTACAGGCTTCTGGCTATGTTGCACGGACCCTAAAAAGTAAATTGTCCATGTAGCTGAATAGGGCTTGTCGTAATCCAGCGCTTGTCATGGGGTTTTTAGGGTTCGTGTACCCGAAAAAAAACCCTAAACCTTCCGTGTTTAGGGGTTGTTGGTTGGTTGAAGGTCTCCATACGACTTTTCGAAGCAGGTCCTGCTTTGGATGGCTTTGGGAAGTTTAGGATTTTGGGTGATGCGAAAACAATCCCAGTAAGAGCGCAGTAGCTCGAAGAGGTTTCCCCCAATCCAATCCCGATCCTGAAGCAATTACCCTGAGCCCTGGCTCATTTAGGGCTTAGGGTTAGGGTTCAAATCAAATCTAATCATACCATTATCATCGTCAGAGTCCATGTTCACACCAGCCAGCTTTGGTTGGTCTCAAGGGCTATAGGGATAGTATCCCGCAAGGATGGAGAATCAACTGGAAAAGGAGTTGGGACATGACATGGAAATTGCATACATGTATTTCTAGATAGGGGCTAAGCAGCTTTCATTTCTTGGAAAGGGTTTGCTCAGTGCTACCTGGCAGGGCCTGTGACTCAGCGTGTTTGGAGGCCGGTGCTTTGCGCTCTTCGGGTTTTGGGTTATATATGCCCAGCTTCCATTTCATGATCCGTGCTCTTTCCATTGGCTTCTCCATGATTTGGAGATAATATCCCTAAACCTTACACCCCAATGCATCCGTATAATATGACCCCATAACCCCTGTATATCCTTATATACTGCACAAAGAATGCTTGTTAGCGGATCATGCTGTTAGGCCAGTGTATATCAAGCTTTATCGAGCCTGCAGTTCTTGGCATGGCGGCAGATGTCGTTTCTATGGAAGCCCTAGGTCCCTTTAAAAGG